ACGTCACGAGTGCGCTGCTGCTGCTGCTGCTGCTGCTGCTGGCGCTGACCACCACCGGAGCTGACCCTCTGCGCAGCGCCACCCCGACCAGCTCCACCTCCTCCGCCGCCTCCTCCTCCACCGCCGCCACCTCCGCTCCCTCCGCCACCGCCGCTGCCTCCTGCGCCTCCACTGCCGCCACCTACACCTCCACCCCCGCCACCACTCCCACCGCCACCACCACCTCCTCCACCACCTCCACCGCCGCCTCCACCGCCCCCGCTAGCTCCTCCAGCGCCCCTGCCCCCCTTGCCCCTGCCAGGGCGGCGTCTCCCGCTAGGGGTAGACGCTGCCCCAACCGACTCCAAACCAGCAAGGTCGGCCGCAGCAGCAGAGGCAACAGAGGGCAAAAGAGGGGAGGGGGAACACCCCTCAAAGATGGGGGTGCGAGGGTCACCACGAGAGGCTCCTACAGCGACTATGCTCTTTTCTGCTGCTAGGAGGGCCTTCTCGAGGAGGTCAACGGTGAGAGTGGTGGGACAAACCGAGAGGAAGTGGTCCCTGACTACGCGAAGGGAGTCAGGGAGACGGGTGACGATGTAGTAGAGGGTGATGTACATGGGGGGGGGGTTCTTGGCGCAGAACTCAGCAGGAAGCGCAGCGCGGTAGCGAGTGTCACTAGTGCGGAGGTGCGTGATGAGGTCAGCGACTGTGGGAAAGGCAGCAAGGTCAGGGAAGAGGTACGGTAGCATGAGGCGGCTCAGTGCAGCAGTGGCAGGGGAGGAGTAGCGTGCAACTACAGCGTCGTACAAGGTCTGAGCACTCTTGTACTGGCTAAAGTGCGCACGCTCAGAGGTAGGCAGGTGGCGACGCACAGCAAGACGTGCAGCAGCATCGCGCGTGGCCCACTGGGAGCGAACAGTTGCGTCAGCATCAGTGGCGGGAGCAGGAGAGGCACCAGAAGTGAGGTCAAAGAGGGAGAGGCCGTCTGCCCTATCGCACTGTAAGAAAAGCTGCAGGTCATCTATCCAGACGTCAAAGTCAATGGCCCGACCCTCAGCGTCAAAAGCGAGGACACTAGGGGTAGCCATGACAGTAGTAGACTAGCAGCGCAAACAGTGGGGTGAGGGCAGTGCTGTGAGAGAGGCGCTGCTCTTACCGGACAGGGCGGCTCGGGCGGCTCGGCTGCAGGGCGGCTCGGCGACTCGGCTGCTGGGCGGCTCGGCTGCTGGGCGGCTCGGCGGCTCGGCTGCTGGGCGGCTCAGCGACTCGGCTGCTGGGCGGCTCGGCGGCTCTGCTGCTGGGCGGCTCGGCTGCTGGGCGGCTCGGCGGCTCGGCTGCTGGGCGGCTCGGTGGCTCAGCTGCTGGGCGGCTAGGCTGCTGGGCGGCTCGGCGGGGCCGCTGAGAGGGCGGCGTCCGGGGCCGCTGGGAGGAGGCGGCGGGGCCGCTGAGAGGAGGCGGCGGAGCCGCTGAGAGGAGGCGGCGGGGCCAGAAAGGTAGGTGGCGGGGCCGCGTCAGGGGCCGCGACAGGGGCCGCGTCAGGGGCCGCGTCAGGGGCCGCGGCAGGGGCCGCGTCAGGGGCCGCGGCAGGGCCGCGTCAGGGCGCCGCGTCAGGGGCCGCGTCAGGGCGCCGCCAGGGGCCGCGGCAGGACCGCGTCAGGGCCGCGTAAGGGGCCGCGGCAGGGGCCGCGTCAGGGGCCGCGTCAGGGCCGCGTCAGGGCCGCGGCAGAGCCGCTTCAGGGCCGCGTCAGGGGCCGCGGCAGGGCCGCGTCAGGGCCGCGGCAGGGGCCGCGTCAGGGCCGCGTCAGGGGCCGCTTCAGGGCCGCGGCAGGGGCCGCGTCAGGGCCGCGTCAGGGGCCGCGGCAGGGCCGCGTCAGGGCCGCGGCAGGGGCTGCGTCAGGGCGCCGCCAGGGGCCGGGTCAGGTCGCGTCAGGGCCGCGTCAGGCGCCGCCAGGGGCCGCGTCAGGGCGCCACCAGGGGGCGCGTCAGGGGCCGCGATAGGGCGCCGGCAGGGGCCTCGTCAGGGCGCCGCCAGGGGCCGCATAGGGGGCGCGTGGGAGGCGGCGTAGGGGCCGCGTAGAGGCAGCGTAGGGGCCGCTAAAAAATTTTTTTTTAGGGCAGGGCGCAATGTGCGCGGGCAGCTAAAAAAAATTTTCTTATGGTGGGCCCTTAGGAAGGAACGGTCCCATGTAGGAACCCGCTCTATACCATGTGAATTAAGAAAAACAGGAATGAGAATGACTAAGTGAAAGTTGGGTACAAGAAGCAAACCCTAGAAAACTGTACCCCATATGTGCTACCCCACTCTAGCCTACAGTAGCTATGTCATATAAATCTGACAGGGTGACGAGGTAGAAGAGGGTGATGTACATGGGGGGGGAAGGGGGGGTTCTTGGCGCAAAACTCGGAGGGTAGCGCAGCGCGGTAGTGGGTGTCACTAGTGTGGAGGTGGGTGATGAGGTCAGTGACTGTGGCAAAGGCAGCCAGGTCAGGGAACAAGTACGGCAGCATGAGGCGGCTAAGGGCAGCAGTGGCAGGGGAGGAGTAGCGCGCAACGACAGCGTCATACAGAGACTTAGCAGTCTTGTACTGGCCAAAGTGCGCGCGCTCAACAGACGGCAGGTGACTACGAATAGCAAGGTGAGCAACAGCGTCACGAGTAGTCCACTGCGAGCGAACCGTACTGTCAGCAGTGGCATCAGGTGCAACAGAGGCACCGGATGTGTGATCGAACAGCGAGACTGCGTCCCTAGAGTCGCACTGAAGATAGAGCTGCAGGTCATCTACCCAAACATCGAAATCTACCGCACGACCCTCAGCATCGAAGGTAAGAACAATAGGGCTAGCCATGGCAGCAGTAGCAGCAGGAGGAGCAGTAGCAGCGCAGTAGGGCAGGGCGGCACGGTCCAGCAGAGCGGCGCGGCTCGGCAGGGCGGCGCGGCTCGGGTGGCAGGCGGGCGCGGCGACGCGCTTACCAGGGCGGGCGCTTACCAGGGGCAGGGCAGGGCCGCGACGGGCGGGTAGGTCACGGCCACAACAGGGCGGCTGCAGGGCAGGGCCGCGACGAGGCAGCGGCAGAGCAGGGCCGCAACGGGGCGGCAGCAGGGCAGGGCCGCGACAAGGCGGCTGCAGGGGAGGGCCGCGTCGGGGCGGCGGTAGAGCAGGGCCGCAACCAGGCGGCTGCAGGGCAGGGGCGCGACGGGGCGGCGGTAGAGCAGGGCCGCGACGAGCGGCTGAGGGCAGGGCCGCGACGAGTGGCGGCAGGGCAGGGCCGCGACGGGCGGCGAGGTCAGGCCGCGACGGGCGGCTAGGTCAGGCCGTGATGGGCGGCGACAGGGCAGGGCCACAACGGGCGGCTAGGTCAGGGCCGTGATGGGCCGTTAGGGCAGGGCCGCGACGGGCCGGGAGGGCAGGACCGCTACGGGCGGCAGTAGGGCAGGACGCACGACGGCGCAGGTGAGGCAAGCGCGAGGCACGCTTCGCGCAGGGCAGGAAAAAAAACTATCGTGGTGGGCCCTAAAAAAACATTCCCACTAGGGAACCTGCTCTAATACCATGTCAGAAAGTAGGAATGAATGATGACTAGAATGACAGCAGTACAGGGTTTGTATAGCAAAACCTAATTGGGTTGTACCCCATAAGGAGTACCCCACTACAGCATAGAGCATATAAATGCATAGTTCTGACACACCGCTCTCCACCACTGCATACCTGGTGGACACGCTGCTGTTGTGCTCTCCCATGGTGGACAGTGGAGGAGCAGAGGGCTCCACTACTCAGCTTGTGCCACGCCCATGTGCGCTAGACGGGAATGGAGAGATGCATGTGGTGAGGGAATGAGTAGCTTGTGCATGCATGGTGTGAAATGCCCTCTCTTTGCACTGAAGGATAGACAGCTAGACACAGACGGTGGTGCTGCTGCTCCTCTTGTGCCGCGTCCGTGTGCACTAGATGGCAATGGGGAGATGCATGTGTTGAGTGGGTTGCTCCGTGTGGCTTCGTCCCTCTCTCCTTCCCCCTCTTTGATGACTAACCGGGCCTATCTCTGCATTCACTCCTTCCTTTCTCCTTTCCCTCCCACTCTCCTCCCCTCCCCTCCTTACCTCCCTGCCCTCATCCCTCCCAGATCTCGGTGAAGTTCCCAGCAGTGGCGCGCATAGGGGCGCTCAGAATCGCCCTGCCCACTGACCTGCGCCCTAAGGAGGCCCGGCATGCCGTGCTGGTCACAGTCAGAGACGTCACCCAATAGTTCCCCGATGGCCTGCCCATTCTGGACCCTGTAGAGGTGAGTGAAATTATGGGAGGGAAGGAGGGAGGAAGGCCAAAAGAGGCCCGCCCTGCCAGGCTGTGCTGGTCACAATCAGAGACGTCATCCCACGCTTCCTTGACGAACTGTCTATCCTAGACCCTGTTGAAATGAGCTGATGGTGTCAGTGGGTGAGGAAGTAGGCTAGTTGAGTCACACGCTAAGTCAAGCAGAGGCCCGCCAGGCTGTGCTGGTCACACTCAGAGACGTCACCCAACGCTTCCCTGAAGAACTGTTTATCCTAGACCCTGTGGAAGCGAGTTATGGAGGGAGGAAGGAAGGAAGAGAAAAAAATATGTGGGCTACTTGATTTGAGGCATCTTCAACCCAAGGAGGAGGCAAGGCAGGCTGTGCTCTTCACACTCAGAGATGTCACCCAGCGGTTCAAGAGCTGGTTGACGTCTCTGAACCACTGCTGAGACGTCCTAGGACGGGCTGCCGATCCTAGACCCTGTAGAGGCGAGTGAGTGAGTGAATTACTGGGTGCGCTGTTAAGACTTCTTGAATTCGCCTCCATCCGTCTCCAAGTGTGTGTACCTGCTCTCAGGACATGGGCATTCGGACGAGAATTCGAGGCGGACGAGTCGTTTTTGGACATGGGCATCATGGACGAGTCGTTTTTTGACATGGGCATCATGGACGAGTCTTTTTTTGACATGGGCATCATGGACGAGTCGTTTTTTGACATGGGCATCATGGACGAGTCTTTTTGGACATGGGCATCATGGACGAGTCGTTTTTGGACATGGGCATCATGGACGAGTCGTTTTCGGACATGGGCATCATGGACGAGTCGTTTTTTTACATGGGCATCATGGACGAGTCATTAAGAATTCTCGAATTCGTCTCCATCCGTCTCCAAGTGGGTGTGCCCCTTCGCCATCTCTCCCGCTCTCAGGGCATGGGCATCACAGATGAGTCGTTTTTGGACCTCGTGCATTCCATCGATGAGGAGGAGAGCAAGCTGGCCAAACATCCTCTTTGAGTCCTCTCCTCTCTACCCTTTCCAAGGTGATTAAGTAGCTGGTCAAGCAGCCAAGCCAAGCATACCCCTTTCACTAACTGAATGGCGTTGCTCACGCCCCCATCCGCCGTGGCACCTGCACACGCGAAACCCCGACTCCATTTCTTTTGATGTACGTTCGGGCGTGGGCTTAGATTTTCCCTCCCGTTAACGCCTGCATTGCACAGTGCACATCCCGTTCCACCCACCCCCTTCCTCCTTCTCGCGCAGCTTCCCATGTAGCCTGAACGACCCCTGAACACCCCCTTTCCCCCTTCTTCTCGCTCCCTTCGTTCTCCCCTTCCAGGCGGAGATAGCGGAGCAAAAGCTGGAGGTGCTCAAGAGGCGAGGGCAGCTGCACGTGCAGGTTCAGGGTTGAGGGTTTGTGCTCAAGGGTTTACTTGCCCTTCCCCCCCTCTCCCCCTCATTCCCCTTCCAGGCGGACCGGGCGGAGATAGCGGAGCAGAAGCTGGAGGTGCTCAAGAGGCGAGGGGAGCTGCTGGCCGTTCAGCCTCGGTCACACCTATTACTTCCTTGGCCCCCCCATTCTCTCCCTCCCACTCCCCATCCACCAATCCCTACCCAGGCGGAGATAGCGGAGCAGAAGCTAGAGGTGCTCAATTGGCGAGGGCAGCTGCTGGCCGTTCAGCCTGAGTCACACCTAGTACTTGCTTGGTTCCCCCATTCTCGCCCTCGCACTCCCCTTCCACCAATCCTTACCAAGGCTCGGATAGAAGAGCAGAAGTTGGAGGTGCTTGTGAGAGTATGACGGCTTATGCTGGCTTTGCTAGCTTACTTGAACTTTATTATGCTATTACTAGCTTGGGTTTTATTTATCATGCATAGTTATGTCTGATTTCCTAGGTTAGGTGCATTCTTATATGTTATTATAGTTATAACACCAAATTAGGTTACGTAAACTGAACTCAAGCCTTTTTGGTTGCCACCGAATTGCTTTCTACAAAGATCGGGAAGGTTCTGTTCGGGACGCTTCGCGACCCTCGTAACATTCGTGTAGCACATGGGTTACTGGCCTTGTGTCGAGACTATATATAGCCTCGTGTTGTACCCAGGTGGATCATTCAATTCGAACTCTCTATTTTGAGCTCGATCCTAGATCCTTACAGTGCTCAAGAGGCGAGGGCTGGCAGGCTCAAGATGACGACGAGGGAGTCACAGGTGCGTGTGGAGGAGTGATGTGTGTTGGGGAGGTTTGTGATGCTGTGGGAAGGTTTGTAATGCTCTGCCTGTGGGGAGGCATGTGGAGCAGATTTGCATACTATGTGAGCGAGCTACTCCCAAAAACCGTCTGTGTGCGGCATTCACCTCCTCTCTCATCCAGTGCTGCACCCTTCCCTTCACCTTTCCACTTCGTTTTTTCCCCTCTCTTTTCTTTCTCCTAGTTCCTCCCATCTCCCCCCAGCTCTCTCTCTCTCTTCAAGTCCGAGCCAGGTACCGCTGGCGCGTAATCAAACAACTGGGGCCCATCGATGCAAACGGGGTGGTGCAGCTGAAGGGTGCTCACCTCCCCCCATGGTCTACCCACCCTTCCCGACCTCCCCCTAGGTCTCTCTGTTCAAATCCGAGCTGAGAAACCGCTCACAGATGCTCAAACGACTGCAAGTCGAGTGCCAGCTACGACTGCTGACAGTGGGGAGGGGGGAATGGAGATGTGTGGCACCATAGGGAGTGCGGGCAGAGTACATGAGGGAGGTGAACTGGTGAGGGTGTTTGAACTCGGTTCTCCTCTAGCATCCTCTGCCGGTTCTCATGCAGCTGCTGTTACTCCTGCTGGGGTTGCATCTGAAGGTGGTTACAATGTGACTACGGCAGAAGAGGAAGAGCAACTTGCTGCTCCTGGCAGCAAGAGGTGGTGCTGCCGCTTCAGGAGCAGCAAGTTGCTCTTCCTCTATTGTCGTGGTCACATTGTAACCACCTTCAGATGCAACCCCAGCAGGAGTAACAGCAGCTGCAGCACGAGAACTGGCAGAGGATGCTAGAGGAGAACCGAGTTCGAGCACCCTCACCAGTTCACCTCCCTCATGTACTCCGCCCACACTCCCTATGGTGCCACACACCTCCATTCCCCCCTCCCCGCTGTCAGATGTCGTAGCTGGCACTCGGCTTGCGGACCCCGCCTTCTCAAAATCAGAAATCGACTCAAACGGGGTGTTGCATCTGAAGGGGTACTCACTCACATTCACTCCCCCTATGCTTCACCCTTCTCTCCACTTTTTCCTGACTTCGTTTCTTTCCCCACCTCTCTTACCCCGCAGCTCTCTCTCTTCAAGTACAAGCTCCGAAATCGTTCCAGGGTCCTCAAGCGGTTGGGCCACATCGATGCAGACGGGGTGGTGCAGCTCAAGGGCCACTCACCCCTCCTCCCCCCTTCCCTTCCCAAACCCCTTTTCTTATGCTCCAACCTTCCTTCCCATCTCTCCTCTCTAGCTCTCGCTCTTCAAATCCGAGCTGAAAAACTGTTCACGAGTGCTCAAGCGTTTGCGCCACATCGAATCCGATGGGGTGGTGCAGCTTAAGGGTCGGAGAGCGTCTCTCATGCTCTCATAGGTGCTCAATCTTCCTCTCCTGCCTCTCCCTATTCCCCAGCTCTCACTCTTCAAATCCGAGCTCCGAAATTGTTCAGGGGTGCTGAAACGCCTTGGCCACATCGATGCATACGGGGTGGTGCAGCTGAGGGCTGGGCGGCGTGTGTCGTCATGACAGGCAAAGAGCTAGTGGTGGTGGGGTTTATGGCAGGCAGCGAGCTGGTGGTGGTGGGGTTTATGGCAGGCAGCGAGCTGGTGGTGTTGGGGTTTATGGCAGACAGCGAGCTGGTGGTGGTGGGGTTTATGGCAGGCAGCGAGCTGGTGGTGGTGGGGTTTATGGCAGGCAGCAAGCTGGCGGTGGTGGGGTTTATGGCAGGCAGCGAGCTAGTGGTGGTGGGGTTTATGGCAGGGAGCGAGTTGGTGGTGGTGGGGTTTATGGCAGGCAGCAAGCTGGTGGTGGTGAGGTTTATGGCAGGCAGCGAGCTGGTGGTGGTGGGGTTTATGGCAGGCAACGAGCTGGTGATGGTGGGGTTTATGATTGAAGGGGCACTCTCTCACCTCCCCTCTGCTCCCCTCTTCCCCCATTCTCCACCCTTCTCTCCACCCTTCCCTCCACCTCTCTTGCAGCTCTCCCTGTTCAAGTCAGAGCTGAGAAATCGCTCACGAGTGCTCAAGCGCCTGGGCCACATCGACTCGGACGGACTGGTGCAGCTGAAGGGCCGGGTGGCGTGCGTCGTCACTACAGGCGACGAGCCGCTGGTGACGGAGCTCATGCTGGAGGGGGCGTTCAACTCCATAGACCCTCACCAGCTCGTGGCTGTTGCTAGTTGTTTTCTGCCCTCTGAGAAGTCGAATGAAGAGCAGGTGAGGAAGGGAGGCAATTTCTGAGGCCATGAGGAACAGGTGAGTGTTTTCAACCCCTAGAAAGCTTGGGATTTGGTCCTTTTCTAGCTTGGATTTGGAGGCCATGGCATGTGTCGTCACGAGAGGCGATTGTCAAACATTATATATGTGTTATTGCTGTGTAGGCTATAGTGGGTTAGCCTATAAGGGGTACACAACTCTAGGGTTTCATACTTGTACTCCAATGTTTCATAGTTCAATCACTTCTGGATTCTGACATGGTATTAAGAGCTTAGGTTCTAGACCTAAGGGCCCACCGTTCCGCTAGAGGTGCCCTCGTGCGCCCTTTCTTTTAGCGCCCTCGTGCGCCTCTCCCCTAGTGCGCCCTCGTGCGCTCTCCTCTCACGCTGCCCGTGTGCAGCGCGCTAGCAGCCCAAGCGCGGCCCCGCCGTTTTAGCGCGCGTAGGAAAACCGCCGCCTAGGGCGGCCCGATTTTTTCTCGCGAGCCCCAGCAGGCCGTCGCCCGTAGGCCCCGCTCGCCCCTAGGCCGACGCGCGACCCTCAGCCGCCCGCCCCCAGGTCGCAGCCAGCGCGCCCAGAGCGTCGCAGCCCCGCCCGTAGGCCGCCGCGACGCTCCTCTAGGCCGCCGCCCGCGCGCTAGTCAGGCCCACGCACAGCCGCGGCCCGCCCGCTACAGCCGCCCACGCGCACGCCCCTCGTCGCGCACCGCCGCGTAGCCCAGCCCGAGCCGAGCCGCGCCGCCCGAACCGAGCCGCGCCGCCCGAACTGAGCCGCGCCGCCCGAACCGAGCCGCGCTGCCCGACCTGAGCCACGCCGCCCTACTGTGCCCCACCTGCAGCAACTCCTGTTCCTGTTCCTGTCGTACTACTGTTGCTACTGCTACTGTTCCTACTGCTACTGCTGCCACTATGGCCACTCCCTCTATTCTCACCTTTGACGCTGAGGGCCGCCCGATTAAGTTTGAAGTTTGGTTAGATGACCTCCACCTGTTCCTCCAGATCACTGCCAAGGACGATGTCTCCCTGTATGACCACACGTCAGGCGCTGCTCCCGCACCTCCCGCTACTGCTGACAGTACTGCTCGCTCCCAGTGGCAGACCCGTGATGCTCACGCCCGCCTAGCCATTCGCAGCCACCTGCCGTTAGATGAGCGCGAGCACTTCGGCCAGCATAAGACCGCTAAGGAGCAGTACGACGCAGTAGTCGCGCGCTACTCCTCCCCTGCCACTGCTGCTATAGGCCGTCTCTCACTGCCCTACCTCTTCCCCGACCTGTCCGCCTTTGCCACTGTAGCTGACCTCATCACCCACCTCCGTACCAGTGACCTCCGCTACCGTGCCGCGCTCCCCCCAGATTTCCTCGCCAAGAACCCCCCCCCGATGTACCTCACACTGTACCACCTTGTCACCCGCCTCCTTGACTCCCTTCGCACAGTCAGGGACCAGTTTCTCGCCCTCTCCCCCACTGACCTCACTGTCGACCTCCTCGAGAAGGAACTCCTAGCAGTTGAGAAGAGCATTGTAGCTATAGGTGCCTCTCGTGGTGACCCCCGCACCCCCTTCTTTGAGGGGTGCTCCCCCTCCCCCCTCCTCCCCTCCATTGCATCTGCTGCTGCTGTCGACTTCCTCGGAGCTGAGGGGGTCAGGGCCGCGTCTGCTCCTAGTGGGAGGCGCAAGGGCGGCAGGGGCAAGGGGGGCAGGGGTGGTGGAGGTGGAGGCGGCGGCGGCGGCGGTGGAGGGGGTGGGGGGGGCGGGGGTGGTGGCGGAGGTGGGAGTGGCAAGGGTGGTGGGGGGGTCAGTGGCGGCACAGGGGGCAGTGGCGACGGAGGTGGTGGGGGTGGTGGGGGCGGTGGTGGCAGTGGTGGCGGCGGTGGAGCGGGTGGCGGGCGCGGTGGAGCGGTGCAACGTGGGGGGTTCGGCGGTGGCCAGAGGCAGCAGCAGCAGCGTCCCGGCGAGACTCCCTCGCCCCAGCAGCTCCGTGAGTGGTACTCTCAGCGTGGGGGGTCTGGGGGTGGAGGTACCTGCCCGTACGTCATCCGCACAGGTGACCGCACTGGCCAGACTTGTGGGAAGTTTCACACGGCGCAGCGCTGTTTCTTTCGCCTCGATGACGCCTGGCGCGAGCAGTTCCCTGACGCCTCTGAGCTGCCCCGCTGGGCTGATCTGCTTAAGAAGGGAATTGATATCTTTGCTCTTGATTATGATGCTATCCTTGCTGCTATGTATGCATTGACTATTAGTGTTGAGGGTGACTGTTACCTGAGTGTACCGCCCGACCCAGGTATTGGGACCGGTGAGGCTGCAGCTCTAGGTGCTAGTGCGTCTGCTGCTCCAGGTCCTGGTGAGGCTGCTGCCCTAGGTGCTAGTGCGTCTGCGTCTGCTGGTACCGCACCAACTGAGGCACTGCACACCTTCACACTGGACTCAGGTGCTTCCCGCTGTTTCTTTCGCGACCGCACTGCCCTAGAGCAGCTCCCTAGACCGGTTGCTGTCTCCCTGGCTGACCCCTCAGGGGGTCCGGTCCTTGCGACCTCCACCACTGCCCTCCCTTGTCCTGCTGTCCCGTCTGGCACGCTGTCGGGCCTCTACCTCCCCTCGTTCTCTACGAACTTGGTGGCGGGTTCCGCGCTCCAGGACGCGGGTGTTCACCAGTTCACCCCGGCCTACGAGCGTGTGACGCACTGCACGTGTGCCCGGACGGGTCGTCACCTGGCTACCTTCACTCGGCAGTCGGGGTCGGACTTGTACACACTGACCACTGAGTCCCCTCAGGTAGCTGCGTCTGCGTCTGCGTCAGGTCAGATGTCGGCCCCCTGCTCGTATCGCTCCCTGTCGCACAGGACTGTCCTCTGGCACCACCGCCTTGGTCACCCGTCAGTGCAGCGCCTTCGCGGCATGCACTCCAGGTACCTTGTCTCTGGTCTTCCCAGAGTTCTCCCTCCCCTACCACCCTCGCTTGCTCCTCCCTGTCTTCCCTGTGTCGAGGGGCGGCAGCGCGCCGCTCCTCACTCCTCCTCGTTCCCTCCCACAGAGGCTCCCCTGCAGACTCTCCACCTGGACGTGTGGGGCCCCGCCCGCGTCCGGGGACAGGGCCACGAGCGGTACTTTCTGCTGGTCGTCGACGACTACACGCGCTACACCACGGTCTTCCCCTTGCGTACCAAGGGTGAGGTCCCTGATGTCTTGATCCCCTGGATCCGCGCTGCTCGTCTCCAGCTCCGCCAGCGGTTCCAGTCGGACTTTCCTGTCTTACGTCTGCACTCTGACAGAGGTGGCGAGTTTTCCTCTGACCTCCTGGCAGCCTACTGTGCGGAGCACGGCATCCGCCAGACGTTCACTCTCCCGGCCTCTCCGCAGCAGAATGGGGTTGCTGAGCGCCGCATTGGTCTTGTCATGGAGGTCGCTCGTACCTCCATGATCCATGCGGCTGCCCCCCATTTCCTGTGGCCGTTTGCAGTGCAGTACGCCGCGCATCAGCTCAACCTCTGGCCCCGTGTCTCTGTTCCGGAGACCTCGCCTACCCTGCGTTGGACGGGGGAGGTTGGCGACGCGTCGGTGTTCTGAGTCTGGGGATGTCGAGCCTTTGTCCGCGATACGTCCGCGGACAAACTCTCCTCCCGTGCGGTTCCCTGTGTCTTCCTTGGCTTTGTCCCTGACGCGCCTGGCTGGCGGTTTTACCACCCCACCTCGCGCCGTGTCTTCGCCTCTCAGGACGTCACCTTTGACGAGTCGGTACCCTTTTACCGTCTCTTCCCCTACCGCACTGCCCCGCTCCCCCCCCCCGCCGCTCTTCCTCACCCCACGTGTCCCGTCGGTAGACCCCCCTCCCTCCCCAGGGTGCTGCTCCCTCAGGTGTTTCCCAGGTAGACACGGTCGAGCCTGTCGAGGTAGCTGTTGACTCTGGTCCTGCGCGAGGTACTGAGTATGCTGAGCCTGGTGGTGCTGGGTCTGGGGGCACTGAGACTGGGGGTGCTGAGCCTGGGGGTGCGGAGACTGGGGGTGCTGAGCCTGGGGGTGCAGAGACTTTGGGTGCTGAGCCTGGAGGTGCTGCGACTGGGGGTGCTGAACCTGGGGGTGCTGAGACTGGGGGTGCTGAGACTGGGGGTGCTGAGCCTGGTGGCGCTCCCTCTTCACAGCAGCTGCGTGAGTGGTACTCCCAGCGCTACAGCCTCCGTCGTGGGGCTACTGGAGCTGGGGGGTCTGCGGGAGTCGGGGCTGGTGGCCTCGCAGGTGCAGTGCCGCAGCTGTTATAGTCACAATAGGCTTGAATGTGCCTAAAACGAAAGATAGAGAGCGCAGACGGATTTCTGCACAGCGGCTTCAAACGTTGATAGCGTTCTGCTCACAGCTGCAAATGACTTGGTTCAAATTGGATCTGGAGCGTCTTCACGTCGTTTACAATTAGCAATTTAGATTGCACGATTTGATAAAGAATTGACGACACAGCGTCGGTTTGAAACGAATGGTACTATGGCAGCCACTATAGTCTTAGAACACAAGATAGGAAGAGTTACGAGTTGGGAATGACTCCCAGCTCCTACAAACCCCAAGAGCCGAGGTACAGTGATGTGGAACAGTGCCACACTGTCCCCAACCACGAAGGGTCTCGAAACTACCCTTCACTAGGGCCTACACCAAGTGAAATGTTACACTACACAAAGTAATGTAACTATCTTCAATATCTTGAGGTGTACCCTTTTTGGCGAGCTTCGAAATCACTTGAGGCTTGACACCAAGGCTCGGGCTCTTCATCACAAACTCATCCTTGAGTTCTTGATGGGTCTGCTGCACACACCTGCGACACGCCGAACGTTCGACACAGGACAAAATAGAAACCGCGCACGACAAAATAGAAACCGCGCACGAGACACAAACGACCGCGTAACACGCGTCTAGCGATAACTCGCTATTGACTCGACACACACACTCGACATCATGACTCAACATTCACACACAATTATAAGCATGAAATATATATTATCCCATGCCCTCATACCATTCCATACACACACACATTCACGCACA